TTTTGCGGCCTGTAGTTTTTGATTTTTTTAAAAGCCAATTTTTGAGCTAGAATGCTCATCTTCGAACTCGATCTGACTTTTCACGATACAAAACGACCCTGAAATTCCCAGATCGCTACCTCAATTCCTTCTCGAGTTCTCGTGCGGACAGACAGACACACAAACAGATTGAAACTTTTTCGGTCAGTGGAGTAATGGGCTTTGCTAATCGCTCAGCAAAAAACTTTGTTAGTGAAGTGTATCTCAAAATCTCCGTTTAAGATTTCAGGTACAACGCTTGGCCTTTAGTACCCTTTTATAAAAGATGTATTTAAAAATCTTCCGTCCGGTTTCGTCACACCTAAATGAAGACGTGGATTAGTTGTCTCCACCGAGTCTCCACTAAGTCTCCACTTTAACAGTCTTTCCACATCTATTCGAAGAAGTCTATTAGCCGTGTGAAGAAATGTCTGTGGTTTTGCGGTCGATGCAGACTCAATTTAGACGATTATAAACACATTCGATGGCAACAATACGTTTTATGGATATCTAATAGATGTCTATCTCTAGAAATCTACAAAAATAGATGAGTAAGAGGGAGGTCGATGAACTACAGATCTCCATCTGCGCTGTGGTTGAGGCCTTTGATGTGTCAAAGCTAACATCATTTGACTTAAAATTCAAAAATTCTCAGAGCTCGGCTGAAAAAAAGATTTTTATTTTAAACGCGAAAATGTAGAAAAAACACGCAGTGGTCAAAATTACTCTTTTGGCCGTTCCAGGTAATCTGGGTATCCCGGCCTTTCTGGTGTTACAGGTGTGGTTGTTGTAAGTGTGTGAGGTTGGTATGGGTTCGTATGCTCCCTCATTGATTGACGTACACAAAGCACATTGATCAAGGTGTGTATTATCGGTGTCTCTTCGGATGTTACAAGGTACACTATACACTACTGCGTCTACATCTTGACGCTAGCTCTGCTCCTCTCCAACTCTCCACCACGACTTCTCGACTAGGACTCTCGGCTACGACTGAGCTCCACTTTTACTCTCAGTCGGCGGCTGCCTCTAGGTGGCATCCCGCCAATAGGCTCGGCGGTCAAAGGTCTCCGCCTTTCCCTAAAAGTATCGTCAGTTGATCTCATACTAATAATATATACAGGAGGTGCGGGTGGGGGTCCTACACAGGGTGGCCACGCAACCTGGAAGTCAGGGAAAAGTCAGGGAAAAGTCAGGGAAATTGAACGTTGGTCAGGGAAAATGACTAAATCTTGCCCGAAATTGTTGTTTTCAAACTTTCGGTGGCATTTTCAATTTTTTGGGAGGCGAAAAGTTCCACTTAAAATATCTTTAAAAGTCAGGGAATTTGCCTAAAAAGTCAGGGAAAGGTCAGGGAAAAGTCAGGGAATTTGATAGCTCCGATTGCGTGGCCACCCTGGTGTTAAAACTGAGCGAGACGATATGCTGCTGCAGTAGTACTAACCAACTGACCATCTACCCATTGCAAAAGACAATTGTTAATGAAATTGCTAATTTTCTCCCCACCTAACCCTACACTGAGTCTGGTTTTGCGATACTTTTAATACAAAACCATGCGATAACTGGTGTTTTGCGATTCCCACGCTAAAGGGCATGATAACTCGCAAAAATGTGATAAAGGTATCACATTATTGTGATCAAATCATCACAAAAATTATTTTATTACAGTTTTTGTGATGATTTTATCACAAAAATGTGGTTCTTTTACGAGGGGGCCACCACTCGCGTAATCCTGTGTACAAGTGCCAGGGATTACACCAGTAATCCCTCGTAATCTCGCGTAATCC